ACCTTCATGACTTCTGTATGATAATTGCTCAAACTTTAACTTTTTATTTTCAGATGTGTGATTTTTACTTTGTACATAATTCTATCTGTCCAGGCTGGGCGACGCCTACAATAGAAAACTATTAAATGCTATAAAAATTATTTATATTACTTTGCTTCATTATAAAGTAATTACTTACTTACTTCATATCATAATCCATGATGAGTACCCACAACATATTTTAAAGTTGGCTTAAAGTTTGGTGTTTGTTCTGTAAATTCCTAAACGCTTCACCTTTTATTCTTGCATTATTCAACTGATCCATCTCATATAATTTACTTAAATGATTCTTTGATACTTCATCAGCAATATATTCAGCAGAAGTAGAATCTTCATCCATTAACCGAAAATTAAGATCACCAATCCAGAAGACATAACTAACACAACAAGTATTTCTTAGCAGACCTATTGCAGTTATTTATATATAATTTTGTAGACTTACTTATCATGATCTAAATGCTTTCAACAAGTTTGGACTAAACTTGTTTTCTTTTATTATGTCATGATAATCATCTATGCATCGGATTGCATATGATCATGAGCTGTTAAATGGGCATTCACAAAACACATTGATGATCCATGATAAGAAAAACGTATACTCACAGCACCTTTGTTGCCCTATTTAATTTAAAGAGAAATGATTAAATAAGATATTACTAATTCTGCATATGAAAATCACAAATTTCAATAACTTACACTAGAACACTCGCATGCAAAAATTCAATAAACTATTGCATATATAAATAAAAAACAAAACCTATATGAGTATGTAATTGCACTTAAATTTTTTTTGATACGGTTAAAACTGAAATATATATAATATGATAAGCCAAATGTATATAAACATTTTTAGCCAAGTTAAATTTAGATGATATGTTGATCCAAGTTTTTGCATAACTTAATAATTACATACTTTTGGCATTAAATTATATATTAATTACATACCCACATACCACCAAGACCAGTTCTTGTATATTGTGTTTCAATGTGCGTAAACTCAGCAAATGTTTTCTTAAGCAAAATATATTCAAAACAAGTCCTTGCAATCGAATTGTTTTAACCTACATTCAGTGATCAAATATTTTATATTACAGACACATTTATGAGCAATAATTAATAGATATATTTACTTTGACAAAATCCCTTATTTCTAGAATACTTTTAATAGCATTTGTCCAAGGATCTTCAAAAATAGCATCCATTACAATATTCTGAATTTGAGCTTTTGACTTCCTGCAAACCTGGAACGGAAAAGGAATTCTAATTTTTAAAAACTATATACTTAAGAAATCTTAATGAATAAGCTGGGTTGAACATCATATTTAAAATAAAACACAAAACAATGGTCACAAATTAAAACTTACCCAATACATAAAAATCAAATTTATTTTCATCACTTGAATTTTTTTAGATACTTGTAGTAATTTGTGTAAATCTTGCTCTGGTGAGCCTGTACGACATTATAGGTCACAAAGTGAAATCTGACAAAACATATATGGTTTAAATTCTATTCTTATAATAGACACAATGATAATTAATTTCACTTACTTAAGGGCACTTCACTTCAGCAGCAGACATTGCAAATAACGTCAATACAAGATATACAAATAGATTAAGCAATTTATAGTGATACAACATATACTGCGTAGATAATTAAATTAACAAGATAAGTTTTTACGATAAATGAACAACCTTCGTCATTTCTTAACTTCAACTTTAATAATCACTCACATTAAATATTCAGGTACGAATTGTTTTGTATTAAAACTATATGTAATAAATAATTTAATAAATTATTTAAAGGCATAATAATCGTAAATAATTACAATTTATTAAAACATGATGATGTCATGTGGAAACACATTTCTCATTTGACAGCTTCAAACATAAATGTCAACGTAGTTATTTAGTAAACTTATAGATGGCGACACTGCCACTGCCAAATAAATACCACTGATTATCAATCTGTGGGTCGCGCTCAAATTGGGGGGGGGGGGGGCGAATGCAGCTGTTTCCAAAATTTTATTTTCTTATAAAAAGTCGAATTAGGTCAAAAAAATGAATAAATAAATTATCATTAGGAAACATTTTTTATTAGATTATATATTATTTAGATTATAATATTATTTGGGTATTTTTATATTTTAACACGTAGTTTTAGTGCAACATAAGTCTATTTATAAAAAAAACCCTAGATAGTCTTTTTAATTGCCATATATTTTTAACATACCCCATAGTATTATTTAACTATTTATGAGCGGCAATCCCTCCAAATAGTAATTTTCATTTGATGCCATTTTTTTCCGAACTATAAGCTCAACTGCAATTGATATATTGGTTGATATGAAGCTGTTGGAGGTGGGTATCAAACCCAGATCCAGTGAATGCTGGATCGAATATTGCTTATCCATTTTCTTACCACAATGCAAACAGTCAGCTTTAATAATTATTATATTTTACTAAGTTTTCGCCGGATTTTATTTTTTCCATGGTTTATTTTACATTATCATAAGCAATAATGATATCATTACAATGAATAATATTAAAAAAATGATGAGATAATAATAAGGGCTTTTATACAACCTCTGTTTAAAAAAATTGTTTTATAAATTTATTATTTACAACAAATTTTATTTCATAACGTTATGATACAATATTTTAATATTCACAAATAGCACATTTGAGTGTATAATACATGCTAGAAAGTTCACAATCAGAAACAGTTGGCTATTTTTATAAAATATATATTGTAAATATATATTTATGTTGGATGATAGCAACGAAAATAATTGTATGACTAGCATCGCTTATTAATTTGTAACAAATGTAATATTTCATTAAATTTATTCTGATCATTACTAATTAACACCCTGGTCACAGTAATATTACTACTAATTATTTGTTATTTTAATAGTAAAATAATATTTTAAATAAATACATTTTAAGTAGTATAAAATCTTTAATAAAAAATTATAAATATTTGCTGTGTTTACCAATTTAAATATAATTTGTCATATGTGCATATTTTTATTGTTGGTTTACCTACAATTTATACACAAAGGAATTAATACAGTGATCTCAAGTACTCTGATGTCTAATATTGGTTAAATGATATATTAATATATTATTCAATACATTCATATATCACCATACTATTTAGGGTATTTTGAATTTACAAACTGAAAAACTACAGTTTCGTATTCTGTTAAAGCTTTGAAACAAAAAGAGTATATTTATTCAAGCATCGATGACAATACAATTTATATAATTTGTGTAAATAAATTTTTGTCAATCAATTACAAGAATTTTTTTTAAAATTACTATTAGTATATAATAATCTTATATTTAAAGTAATGGCAAACTCAAATGTTTTCTTAATTCTCTTTGATAAAGTTTGCTTAAAATAAAAATTAAAAATTAGTTATCACAAATCCTTTTCTCCACATATAGTATCTTAATTTATACAAACTATTACCCCTACTTTTATAAATTATTTTTAGGAAATTTAACATATTTATTTAATACCAGTGATTTATGTTGATAATATTTTATCACTCTAAATTTACAAAATGATTTTAAATAATTCCAGAAGAAAATTTTATTTAAAACCAAAAAAGACATTTTCAGATAGTTTAAGTATATACATATTTTGTTCAAGTATATATGAAAATATGGCTTTTCAGAGTTTTGTTGATATCATATGGATGCAAACGCAAGAGATTAAAATGAGAGAAAATTAATCTAATCTAATTGAAAATTTATATATCTTGGAAATTTACCTTATATAAAATATAAATAAATATGAAATATAAGGTTGTTCACGTAATGCATAAATGCTTTCTCTTGAAGAATCATTTTGTAACTTGTAACCAGATCAATATTCTTCAACATATGACTTATTACCTATATTTATCTAAATTTAATTTTTGTCTAATAGAACATAAATATTTTCAGGAATTTTACAGTTTTTGCCAATGAAGCATATCATATCACATCTAGCAATAATACGTCATGTAATTCAAAGTCATTTTCTAAATATGTTCATAATTTTAAATTTAATTGTAATGTGCACATCATAAATTTAAAACCGAAATAAAAATCACCAGTCATTCACAACTCGAACACATACTGAGGTATCGCAAAATACTCTTCATTATCGATTTATATCGATTGATATCGTCTCTTATAAAGAAGAGTTTACCATTTTCTTCTTAGAGTTCTTCATCATGTGTTTCGCAATCGGAACCAATTGAAGACTTCCTCCGGAAATCACGCCTTGCACGTTTGTCAGTTTGTTCGACTTCCTCGTGTTTCCGCTGTCGCCATTTATTGTTTAGTCACACCTTCTGCTCGCCCGGAATTGTGTGCGACGTTGCCCGGATGAACTGGGATCAAATAATAGAATTTGGTGAAAATTTGTGATTTTTATATAATAGAATTTTTAATTTTACAGAATATTAAGTCAATAACTAGTTGGTATTGGTATTTAGCCTTAAGGCAAGTTACATGAACTTCCCGATATGTGTAAATAATCGACTTAATCAATAAAAAACAAATTAATTTATGAGTGATTTATGAGTATTCCGAGTGGATTTATTACACACAATTGAAAACGAACGAACACGTTAACTCGGAGTATTTTCTAAAAGCAAATTTTCACAAATCAATGATTTTTTATAATTGAACCAGTTTTCGTAGGTCGTTGATGGTTTAGTATGTTCATTAAGACCAAGTAATCTATCGTTATACCAAGTAAATCATCTAATTTTAATTTTAACAAACGTCAAAAAAACTACTCTTTTTCTCAAACTTTGATGAATTTTTAAAATTAAACTACTTGTCGTAAGGCCGTAATACTCCAGTAAGTTTCATAAGACCATGATATATATCGCCAAAAAAGTTACATAAAAATCGGCTTAATTTTTTTTTCAACAGTTAATTACAAGAAAACGGCTCGGTAGATTTTCACCTAAAGCTAATCAGTATTATTCCCAACTATTATCTTTCGAACAGTTTTTGATTTTTTAAAATCGATTCGGTAGAATGAGCTTAAATGTGGACGTAAAGTTTAACACTCTTTTTCAAATTACAAAGAAACGGCTCGGCAAATCGTCTCACAAAACTGACAAACTATAGTGCTCATTGAGATACATCGAATGGCTTTTAAATTTCTGAAATCGGTTCAGGCGTTTTTGAGCAAACGTTGATGAAAGGTCTAATTTTAACAAATGCCAAAAAAACGATACCAATTTTTGAAAATTTAGACGAATTTTTAAAGCTAAACGAGTTGTCGTAGGGCGGTAATATTTTAGTATGATCTAGAAGACTATGGTATCTACCGTCAAAAAAAGAATCATAAAAATCGTCGATTTTTTTTTAACTTTATTACAAGAAAATATAAATATTGTAGATTTACAATTTACAACACGGAGGAAAAGTTTGTTTTCGCCAGAAAATCTAATTTGTTAATTTTATATTTTCTCGACGTTTCAAATCACTCTGAATAATCTTAATAGCAAAGATTATTTTAAGATCTGATAAGTATATAACTTTATAATAGATTACATAAGTACAAAGATTATTTTCAAATCTTATAAGTATATAACTTTATAATAGATTACATAAGTGCAAAAGGCTTGGTCAACGTTTTGCAAAAAAAAAAAAGAAAATTCAAAAGGGGTCAGATCGCAATCGTCTTGATTAGATTTTGGAAAATATCAGCTGAGCCGTTTTTTACAATTATTTCTTGAATTTTATTTTTGTTGATATTAATCACAATTTGCATGGAAATAAAGTTCACAATTTAAACGAACGTTCAGAAATATTGTAAACTACAAAAAGTGGTTATTTGTAAAAATTCAATAATTCAAGAAATATAATTTTCGAAATATATAATTTTCGAAATATACAGCTGAAAATTTTATCTTTAGTAGATTATTTACAGGTGTCAGGAAGTTCTAGTAAATTGCCTCAAGGCAAATTTTCACTTACACCTAGCTAGTGTTTTATTGGTTATGTTTTCTTGAAATTATAGAAGCAAACGTATAATAGATTTTCATATAAAATATTTGTACTATATGGTACCGGATTTTACTTTTACTTTTCATAGATGTGTGGCAAAACATTGATACACTTTTTATTAATTATATTAAAATAATAATTTGAGCAAAATAAATTTTGAGTTACTAAGTAATCGTAAATTATCATATTTGAATTTTAATATGAAAATTTTAATTTAAATTTTAATATGAAAATTAACTTTAGCATAAGAACTAGTATATCGTGGCGTTAGTTGATTCTACTTGATATGAATTTTTAAATATTATAAATTTTTAACTGCAGAGGCCCATCAGCAAAAGCTCCCATGTGATTCCAAACAAATGGAAAAATGCAAAGTTAAAAAAGCCATAGATAAAAAAAAAAACAGAACAACTAACGCTCTTTGAATTTTTATTCACCGAAACTGTTGTAGCGGAACATGAGTTGGCACGAGGCCGGAACATCAAAGTATTCCATCGTCGTTTTAACTGCGCCATCACCTGAAAGTATATAAAAATTAGATAAAAATTCTATCGGGATATTAAAAGAGATATCTCAAAGACAACCTAATTTCAAATATAAATTTAATGAGATATAATTCAACGTGAAACGCATCATTCTTGCACAGACTGAGAACACTAACTTTTAAAATGTGTTAATGAATGTAATATAAATCAAAATTAACTTTCTGCTGATTCTTTTAGATATTAAAGGCTTATGTTTACGTACCTCTCCATTGCAGAAGCAAAACAGTGTTGCTACACAAAGACCCTAAAATAAAAATGAAATAAATTCAATTAATGATCAACATTATATACAAACATTCGACAAAATTAATAGATCATAATTCTAATGAATATTATCAATAATTGTGTGAGGAAATATTAAAATTATTCAATAGAGCAATAATTCAATTATTTCCTAAATTTAGTTACTGTAATAGTATTATATTTCTTGGTTTATAAATAACATGAGAGATTTGAAATTTGTTGTTCATTGATAAAATATAAATTAGAAGTAATTTTATATTTCAATAAAAATTTATATCACAACTACCCTTATATTTTGGCTTGGAAAAACCAGCTCCTTAATTTCGATTATAACAATTTCACTACTCTATTAATTGATTAAAATAAGAACATTTTTCTATATTAGTATAAAATTTATATCACAAAAACCCATATATTTTCTTTTATGCATAGCCTAGGAAAAACCAGCTTTCATGTTTATGTTAGGTTTGTAATATAATACTATTTCATCAGTAGACATAGAGATTAAATGAAATATCAAGCTGATAAAAAAAGATTTGCGATGCTAAATCTCTACAAAGGAATTCTTATGGAAAAAAATCGAGCACAAAACATGGAAGTTACATATAACACAGACAATTCTGTTCGATCAATATATAATATTTTTGAATTCTCAGATTTTAGATATTGATTTAAAATGATTCTAATAAATTATTAAGATGTATCAATAGAAAATGAAATATTTTGTTTGATGCTAATATATAAGAGAATCTAATAACTAATCAAGTAAAAACATTCATACGTTTAGGATATAGTCCTAGCATTCTTTCAAAATATAATATAATATTTCTAGTTACATATTCTCTTATAAAAAAATTCCTTAAAACAAGTGTAAACCAATAATTTAAAATAGTGTAGTGTTCCTTTATATCCTTATACCACAAAAATTGTGATTTCTATTTTCAATATAAAATTAAATAAATTTTCCACTGAATGAAAAGGCTAGGACTATAGCCAAAACGCAGCATTTTAAAATATTTGTTTTTACTAAATTTCTTGTTTTTTATTTACTTTACTATAAATTTTTAGACGCTAAATATATGTAATTAACGTAATAGTGTGTAGATTTATATTACTATTAAGATTTTTGTTACCTGAAAAGAAGCTGTAATAGCAGACGTCATCTCATAGACGCGTTCCCAGGAATGACCAGGTGGAGGTCGAAATGGGGTCAATAAATAATGCAACCCCAAAAGTGGTACTAATAATAGTGTAGCCCTAGAACACATGAATTTTTAATCTCGAGTCTTTGGTAATCAGTAATTATAAATATAATAATACTACTTAGATTTATTTTAAATTTTTTGCAATTAATGGCAGTATCATAAGAGTACTTTTACAAATAAGTAAAATGAAACTTGATTACTTGAGGGAAACCACTGTTTCCCTCAAGTACACTTCCTAGTATTATTTCCTAAATCCCCAGCTGATAGCAATTGATTAAACTCATCGCAATAGGCCCAAGTCGTAAATAAATCCTGATGATAAGTATCGACTAAGCTTGATTAAGCACATAGTAATTAATTGGGTAAATCAATTCTGTGGTAAAATTTAGACCTAATCGTTTTCTCTTAATCTCCTTTGATTGATCATCAACAAGGAACAATAATCCACTAAGAAGGTTCGGCTTAAAGTAAACTACTGTAACAATAGATGCTATTAGTCCGATACGCTTCGAAGTCTAAAACCGATTGAAAATTTAATTAGAGCTGTGGAGCAATCAGAGAATGAATGAAACTTTTATTAGCTTTAAAGAAGTAATTGTATGAATTCGCACATCAGGACCAGAAATTGAAATCAGTAAAGAAGCATTACTTTTTATGAAACCCGATACACCCTGAACATCTAAATAATTTATATTTACCTGAAAGCCTGCAGAGCCGTACTGGAGGGTCCTGAACTTCCTCCATGATGAGGCCCTGCCCGCAATTTAACTAATAAAACTCTAACGATGTTGCACAGCAACACCAAATTCAGCACCATATATAAGCACACTGGAACCACCAAAACTGTTGAGTACCAACTTTCGTTCATCCAGCACCTAAACATAAAAAATTAGTCAAAATTATAAATTATTATTCCCTTAAATTAAAGTGAATCTGAAAATGATTTTTCAAATTGATTGCCAGTTCAACAATAGTAAAATGAATGATCACCATAAAAATAACTTTGTTTTTACCCTAAAGTCTTGAATTTTTTTTTATGTTATACCAAAACAACATGCACGATATTAATCTTATTCAAACGATATAGTAAAAAAGGGCTTTATAAATAAGCGTGCCATTTACCTGAAAGGTATGCTTATATATTCAGAAGATTTTGCATCTTACGTACGTCAAGGAATAAATAAACTTTGTATGTATAGATTCACCGGAAAATTGTTCAAATATAGGGAAATCCTTTAGATTACCAGGAGGTTAGTGATATAAATTCGATGTGGGTGCTCGGTTTTTCGGAGATGTGGGGAAAAAACATATATAAAGTAAATACGACCCGGTATGCCTTCCTATAAACCAAATAAATATAATAAAATGAAAACATACCAAAATTGTCATAACAAATTATATTGTGTTATGTCAGGGTCCAAGAACGCATGTTCGGATTAACGGATTTGATGATTGTGTTTATGTTTAATTATAGCACCTTAATCAACATGTATGTGAGGTGAGTCTTAAAGGGTTACCTTGATTGTAATTATTACTTAAACAATACTTCAAAATATAAAGAATATTTATTACCTTCATCAATTAAAATAGTATTTTGTAAATAATCTATCAAGAAAGTAACGATCCACCAAGGAAAAACTATGTTGCTATGAATAATTTTATTTGTATGTTTGTGGTGTTAACTAAAGAAGATTTTGCACATTAAATAATTTGTCACAGTTAAGTGATTTAATCTCGGTCCATTTTTAATGATCCATCGCATAATATGATTTTAATTCTAAAATTAAAATTATCTTCATAATACCTGGGCTTTATTGTTAGCTGGCTATTTTAAAATTATTTGTTAAAGTTTGAAAGCGCAATGCATAAATGCAATTTGCAATGCAGCTAATGAATAAATGAAAACTATTTAGCATGTATAATGCATTTACGATTAAAATAAACTTCGCTTACATTTGAATAACAAAAAGTTACATTTATTTTTAGATAACTGAAATATAGTTAAATTCATGCATGCTCTTCATTTCGATTTCCATCACATGGAAATGTGTTACAATTGTCTATATGCTTGAATAAACATTAGAAAATCGATATGCACTTATGCACTTAAGTTTAATTCAATATATCAAAAACAATCGACAGAAAATTGTATTACATTTTGCTATTACGAATACTATATTGGTTTAATATTCAATTAGTAATTAAACGACCGCAAAATGGTTTTTCTTAATTATAGTTATGTAACTTTTGATATTGAGATATGAAAAATATGTGGGCGATATTAATTAATAACATATAAATTGGAAATAATTTTACCTCAATATGTAATTGCAATTAAATATTTACATAAAATATTTGTAAAAGAAAACCGTATGTGCATTAATTATATTACATGCTGAAAAAGCACGCACGTTTTAATTAATGACAATTTTTTCTTTGTTTTATTTAATATTAAATAATTTTTATGTACCGTATGGTACACATACACAACATATGCTATTGGTAATAAAATATATAATTGAACCATCAAATTAAAATTTCAATACATTTTGCGGTCATTTTAGTCATAGCACCTATTTAAAAAAATAGATAACTCGACAATGTGACTGATCAGGTTAAGTTTTTTTTATTTATAAGTAATAGTTAAAAATAAAACGTCATTGCCAAAATTAATCACCGATTTTGAAAATTAAATTTTAAATTTCGATTTAAATATATAATTACAATTGCAAGTCTTGTTGACCAACCGATTACAATCTTGTTGATCATCTACAATTTTTAGATTTTTTAATTTTTTTTATTTATTTAATAAATAACTCTATCTAAAAACATGACATCTAGTAATTTTTTTGATTAATATAAAGAAGTAAGAAGATATCAGGCCGCTCAATATTGTTGTCCTAATAATATTGTTGTTAAGTATAAGATATTTTGAAAAAAGTTAAACTTAAATAGGAGTAATCTAGACATTCATATAAACTAGTCAAATTTAATTAATCAAATTAGATTAAGAATAAAAAAATCTTCTAGTCTAAGCTAATATTAATCATAGGAATAAGTGTACATTATTGTTACTGTACGTAACTTTATATGTTATTTTGCTAACTGAAAAGTTTTATTCTTTTGAGTGTGTATTCAAAAGTTGTAATATAATATAATTATAATTTGGCACACACGTTCATTGCTGTGATTATCAATATTTTATTGCCTCATTGAGTAGTTTTTAATTTCTTCTGCAACTGTAATTTTTAGATTTGGACAAAATACCACTAATATCTCTTTACTTATAATTTTAACGCAATCCTAATACGGATTACTGTATTTCTGTTTTCTATATCTATTTGATTAGGTTTTTTGTTTTATCTCTTCAAACTTTTTTCTTAACACGTAATCGTGTTTTCCGAAAGGCTGAGGAAAATCTTACATAATGCTTATAGACCAGACGTGTGGGCGCTATAGACTTCAACCAGGGTTCGAATTTCGATGAAAAGTCAATGACACCATAGAGAAAAATGCATTTTAATCATAGCTCATATCTTGACTGATGATAATACCATAAAAATAATTAACATGAAAAAATAAAAACTCATGGATACATTATTACCATGTTTCATTAAGTACTAAATCGTGCTAAAAATTTTAGATCATAAAACTGTTTACCAAGTTACTAAATCACAAAGTTCATTCTGTGTTCTTAAGAAGTATTGTTTTTAATTTTCATTTTTTATACTGTTGAATATTTTATTATGTACCACATGTGAACCAAATACTTTTTAGAGGGAAGTGGATGCCTTGCACGCCACAATCTTACGTTCCTCTTGGGGTATGCTCTACTTTAGGGAATACTGGCACCAGTAGTGAACAATCTTTATAGAAATATTATATATGTATATATAATATAAATATCATCTGCATAATCTAATTATATTCATTAAATTAAGAAAACCCTTGTTTAGATTAATGCCACAGGGTTTCATTAACCAATTATGATCTTTAAAAGCATCAGTAGCATCCCTAAGGTTGATCCCCATAATACACATTATTCCTCTGGTTTTATATGACAGGATGTGATAATAAATTGAAGAAACGACTACACATTTTATTTTATTAATTACAATATAAAATTACTAAAATGCAAATAGAAAGATAAATACTGTTTCATATTATTTTGATTCATTACAACACTGAAGCTTTATGATTGTTCATATAAACCATTGCATATTTACACTCGTTTATCATTGCAATAATATTATTAATATTTACACATCATTGTATAACCTACTTGTGCTTTAAATATATTTTATTTCCTCCTACATAAATCTATGAAGTGCAATAAATCAATATACAAAAACGAATTATTTCGAACAAAAATATCATGGCCAAAAATATGTTTTTCGAGCATTGTCGATGCCAAGAAGGAAAAAATTGCAGAACATAAATTGTAAAATTGGCGTATTTCCTTTGAAGAGAAATAAAATTCGTAAATTAGTTCTTAATGGATTTTGGCAATAGCTGGTGTTCGCTTGAGAATGAAAATTTACAAATTGTACTTCTCCTAAAACTTTTCTTGGCTTTTCTAAGTGCATTTGCACTATTACTTGTATAGGATAAAATCGTATCAAACTAGTAATTCCGGCTAAGACGAAGACAAAAACAATTTATGTAATTAAGCATGTAATAATAATACAATGTTTGAAATACTATATTCCTATACTATTCTATAGTCTATGCTATATAAAATACTATAATATTATAATCAAGATAAATATTTTCCAGAAATTTCAAAACCAAATGAAATCTACATTAAAAGCGCCTAGATATATTCGAAATTGACTAGTTCATAAATGCACTAATTTTTATAAATTGACAGAGAAAAAAGATTTGCAATCAAGACTAAAAAGTCAACCAACTCAAGTATAAAAGAACATCATAGACTTAAGTATAATTTACGATTGATTATGCAGAGTTTATATATTATTTTAATATAAATTTTTACTTAATTTCCTAACCCGAATTTCAAATTTCAAATGTATACCGTTATGTAATATTACAATACCATGTCACCAACAATACTAACCAATAAAATGACTAGATCCTTTCCAAAAGTAATTATATTTATAAAAATTAAAAAAAAGAGTGTGTTTGATTCACACGCGATTGAAGTAAAACTTATTTGCTACTGTACAAGATGACATTTAAGTAAAAACAAATACATCATATAACAATTTTGAATAATGTTTATTAGTAATATGGTAAAACTTGTGATGCACACATTTATTATAGTGTCAACCGAAAATTTGTATCCGCACACGTACACCTATTTTTTGTAAGGTATGCCAAAATGTTGAGAAACCTCTGAAATGTAAAGATGTATAATAATTTTCATTTTCGATTTTTTTGCGATTACTATAGCTTACCGTACGGGAAGTTAATAATGTACTTAAAGTCATACTTCAAATTTGACATGATCGGTTTGTCATTGTAATTAGCATTTAGAAATGAACCTTTATTAGTGAAATAAAGTAATTGCTGATTAATAAATTCTATAATACTCATTCACACAGTGCATTATATTAAACAACGCCTAAATAAATATTGCTTTAGCAACTTCACTCATCATGTAATTGTGTTTGTAGAACTTCATGTAATTAAAATTAACATACGTTCATTGACTGTTGGTACTTTGTTTACTTTTTCGTTGGCGATATAATCTCATTCTTTGAACAACTGTAATATATGTCTTGCCTAAAGAATATTTTTCATATTAATAACTTCAAAGATTTATAGAAACTATGAATAATATAGAAATAATTTCTAATCAATAGACCTACTAACCATTAATCTTATTAATCAATATTTTCAAGAAACAGGGTGA